TAAGGTTGCTGTTATATGCCTTACAGCAGGCATGGGCAAACTTTGGCCCTCCAGGTATTTTGTACTTCAACTCCCACAATTCCTAACAGTCGGTAGGCTGTTGGGAATTGTGGGAGTTGAAGTCCAAAACATCTGGAGGGCCGAAGTTTGCCCATGCTTGCCTTACAGTATTTTTTTAATTTATGGCAAACCCATTGCCTCGTTGTTGTTGGTAGTGGGTTGCCTTTGCTTTCATTTGAGGCTGGGAACATATACATTTCTCAAGCTCGCCCAGCTGGTTTCCATGGCCAAACAGGGATTCAAATTCTCCAGAGTTGTAGTCCCAATGTTATACAATGCTGGCTTTCCACCACAGTTGTTTTATTAACTCACTAAAGGCTGGGTTATGGTGGTTGGGGTGTTGCAGGGATCCCTTTCTCTTCCCATGGCCTATTTTATTTATGTTTCTTATGCACCTTATACACAAAGCCAGAAGGTAATTTTATACACAGTGTTTTAATAACTGTTTGCATCAAAAACAAAGGTAGTGTGCATTGAAACATCAGAAAACAAAGATGTCATTATCTCAGTCTCTCATGTGGACAATTTGGAAGATTTGGGGGTAAGGGATGCACAACCTGTATCTGAACAGCCCCTTTCACCTTTGTGGGCTGTTTAAGGGGATCCAGAATGGGCATTATATTCTTCCTCCTGCCTGTTGAATGTGACAGCTGATGAAGCCACCTCAACTTCAAGTTGGCAGTCCCTGAGTTACAAGCATCTGACTTACAAATGACTCATAGTTAAGAACTGGAGCGAAACAACAGGAAGTGAGAGAAATCTCCCCCTCAATAGGGAAATTCACTAGAAATGTTATCATGAAGGAAAGGTGTATCTGCTGAAGTTTTATCATCAATCCTTGTTTACACAACAAACCAAATTTTTATTACAGGGACAGAAAGCAAGGTGAAATGTTCTGAATGGTGGTATAGACAGCAAAACAAACACCACAGGGGTGTTAACCTTTTCCTATGCCATCCAATGCAGAGAGAGAGAGAAAGAGAGAGAGGGAGGGAGAGAGGGAGAGATGGAGTTACACTTAAAATATTTACCTGTTCCGACTTACATACAAATTCCACTTAATAACAAACCCACAGAACCTATCTCGGTTTGCTATGAGTTTTCCGGGCTGTATGGCCCTGTTCCTGAAGCATTCTCTCCTGACGTATCACCCACATCTCTGGCAGGCATCCTCAGAGGTTGTGAGGTCTGAGGATGCCTGCCAGAGATGTGGGCAAAATATCAGGAGAGAATGCTTCTGGAACATGGCCATACAGTGCAGAAAGCTCACAGCAACCCAGTGATTCCGGCCATGAAAGCCTTCGACAACAGATAGAAACTATCTTGTTTGTAATTTGGGGACTGCCTGTACAGGTATCTATGTGTTTGGTTGTGTGGTACTCGTCTCCATGGGGCTACCAAGTGGAGTCCACAACATGCGAGCGTGGCAAAGAGCAAACCACAGAGCACCTATTACAATGCACTCTGAGTCCTGCTACATGCACAATGGAGGACCTTCTTATAGCAACACCAGAGGCACTCCAAGTGGCCAACTACTGGTCAAAGGACATTTTGCATAATGCCAAGTTTTTAAAACTTTGTGTTTTTAAAAATACATTCCAACTGTATTTTCATTTTACTTCTGACACAATAAATAAACACTTGCCTCCAAGGAAAGCTCCTGTATGTGAGCCCCGATTCTTTCCTTTGCTCTAGACCAGTGATTCCCAACCTTTTTTGACCAGGGACCACTTGACCAGGGAACACTCTCCAACATTAGTACCAAAAGGGTTACGAATCAGTTTTTGGTCAATTTTAGATTCGGTTTGGGGTGCTGATTCAGAAAATTGCATTGGATAGAGCACATCACCTCTAGTTTCTGATACAGAACACATGCCATGGTCAGCGACAAGGAAGGAGTGGCAGGTGGCACAAAAGAAGTGGAAATAAAATAAAATAAAGTAAAGTAAAGTAAAATAAAATAAAATAAAATAAAATAAAAAGGAAGGAGGCTCATGGACAAGATTTTCATCCTCACAGCCAACTGGTGGTCTGCAGCCCACAGGTTAAGAACCATTGCTCTAGACTCGCAGAAGGAAACTCTGGACTTGAGAGGTCTCTTTGTAGATGCTCAAAGGGACTTTCTCCCTCAGGGAGTAGAAAAGTGACTTTGAGGAGAGGAAGAACCACATTCCCTGTATATTCTTGGAGCACATCTATAGCTTGAATGCAAGGAGTCATGGCAGTGAAAGTGGTTGTCAAAGTGTATCCATACCACAGTGTAGACCACGCATGGGCCAACTTGGGCCCTCCAGGTGTTTTGGACTTCAAGTCTCACCATTCCAAACTGCCTTGAGTAGGCCAAATGGACCCATGTGAATTTAACATTTGGCGCTTTTTGAATTGATGCCAACTAGTTGAATCAATGGCAGCTAGTTTTATCTACTGATGTTTTAAATTTTTTGATTTAATGTTATATATGTAACAGGGGTTGTTTTTATAATTTTATGTGATTGTTTATACTTATGTACCATTTGTTACTTGCGGTATGTTATATGTGCACCTTGGAGTGCCTTTGTAAGTCCTTTCGGTGAGATGGTGACGCGATATAAATAAAGTTTATTATTAAGTTTATTAGTTCTACATAGTTTAGGGGTAGGAAAATAAAAGCCTTGAAGTGCATGACCCAAGGCTGTTTCTGAGGCCATAAATCCTTTTATATACTCCTGAGATAAGGTTGCTGCTGCTGTGTACCTTGAAGTAAATTTCTGACAAGGCAACTCTAAGGTCACTCTAGTATGGGATCTTTGTGGCAGGATTTATGCAGTGGGAGGTTGATTTTTGCCTTTGAGACAGGGTGATTTGGATGAGCTTACCCAACAGATTTCTGTGGCTGAGTAGGGATTCAAACCCTGGTCTCCTGAGTAATAGTTTAAACCACTACACAACACTGACCTGATTTATCTGGTCATGCTAAACCAACTTTATTGGATAACCCAGGATGGGACAGCTTGGGCCCTCCAGGAGTTTTGGACTTCAACTCCCACCATTCCTAACAGCCTCAGGCCCCTTCCTTTTCCCCCTCAGCCGCGAAGCCATTCTTCTGTGTCCTAATCTCCAGAGAGATTTAAAATGAGGGGAAACAAACAGGCACATAAAATCACTCTCAATAAGAGATTCCCCCCAGGCGCTTCCAGGCCATTGAATGCAAATCAAGGTGATCAGCTGAAACATTACCCTGGTCATTCCACAGATATATAAACCCATTTTTCCTACTTCCAACAGACCTCACTACCTCTGAGGATGCTTGCCATAGATGCAGGCGAAACGTCAGGAGAAAAATTGCCTCCAGAACATGGCCATATAGCCCGGAAAAACCTACAACAACCCAAAGACATGATAGCCATGTATACATATGTGAGAGGAAGTCACAGGGAGGAGGGAGCAGGCTTGTTTACTGCTGCCCTGGAGACTAGGATATGAAACAATGACTTCAAACTACAAGAAAGGAGATTCCATCTGAATATTAGGAAGAGCGTCCTGACTGTGAGAGCTGTTCAGCAGTGGAACTCTCTGCCCCGGAGTGTGGTAGATGCTCCTTCTTTGGAAGCTTTTAAACAGAGGCTGGATGGCTATCTGTTGGGGGTGCTTTGAATGCAGTTTTCCTGCTTCTTGGCAGGAGGTTGGACTGGAAGGCCTATGAGGTTTCTTCCAACTCTATTATTCTATGATTCTATAAGAAGACACTCCAAAACTGTCTCTGTGCTTCTCTGTGCTTCAGCAAGCGCCTGCACAGTTCAACCCTGAAGAATGTAACATCCCCAGAATAATGAAGCATTCCCAGAATAATGGCTGAGACTGGTTATAGACCAAAGTGAGTGACCACATATGCGGACTGAGTTGAACATGATTTTACCTTGGCGATTTGGTATATATGTATTTTATCTATATGTATTTTAATCTTGTATTGTTGTATGATGTTTTAACTTGTATTAGTAGCACTGAATCCTTGCTATGGGGGTGTCGTGTCAGGAGCGACTTGAGAAACTGCAAGTCGCTTCTGGTGTAAGAGAATTGGCCGTCTGCAAGGACGCTCCCCAGGGGACGCCTGGATGATTTGATGTTTTATCATCCTTGTGGAAGGCTTCTCTCATGTCCCCGCATGAGGAGATGGAGCTGATAGAAGGAGCTCATTCACCTCTCCCTGGATTCGAACCTGTGACCTGTCGATCTTCAGGGGTTTAACCCACTGTGCCACCAGGGGCTCCTTGCCAGGCCCGTAGCCAGGGTTTTGATTTGGGGGAGGGGGACTGAAGCCCCTCAAGCCCCCCCCCCCCCCCGGCTACATGCCTGCTCCATGCTGTAAGCCGGTCTGAGTCCCTCTACAGAGGTGTGAAGATCGGGATATAAAAGTTTTTTATATATATAAATAATAAATAAATGTAACAGTAGTCAAAAGTCCCAGGCTCAGCTAGTTCCTTGGGCTAGCTGAGCCTGGGACTTCTACAGAGGTGTCCCTCTACAGAGGTGTGAAGATCAGGATATAAAAGTTTTTTATATAAATAAAAAAAATATTTATATAAAGAAATAATAAATAAATGTAACAGTAGTCAAAAGTCCCAGGCTCGGCTAGCTCCTTAGGTGTAGCCCAACTAATCAGCTTCCTGCATCTTATTTTACAGTTGACACACACAAACTGAATTCTTACATGCTCCAATATAAATAAGTCAAACAAGGATTTTGGGGTTGATTTTTTGGACTAAAATTTCTAGCACTTTCAGTATATCTCCATATATATATAGAAGGGCCTGAGGCTGTTAGGAATGGTGGGACTCGAAGTCCAAAACACCTGGAGAGCCCAAGTTGTCCCATGCCTGGTGTAGATGCATCCAGGGATGGCGGAAGACTTTAAGAAACTTCCCAGTCCCCCAGCATTACTCCCTTTCCTTGTGTCCACTTACTGCGGCTCAAGGGGTGCCCCCTTCCTCCTCCTCTTCCTCCTCTTCCTCCTCCTCCTCCTTGGCCATCCAGTGCTGCCAGCTCGAGGGAGGCGGCCCAGAGGGCCCCGGCCAGGAGCGCCAAGGCCAGCCAGAGTCCGAGGCGCTTCCTCCGCAGGGCCAGCAGCAGCCCCTTCAGCACCGGGAACGGGCGGCACCTCATCCCGGCTCAGTCAGTCAGTCAGTCCCAGGCGGAGACCATGCTGGAAGTTTGCCCGACTCCCTGGGCTCTTCCCGCTTCCCCTCTTCCTCCTTGGGAAGGTCCTCTCCGCATCGGAGCTTCAGCCGGCACTTCCCTCTCCCTTTGGCCTCCTGCTTCCCTGGTATTAGCCTCGTCCCATCTTCTTCGGCTTCCCTTTTCTACCTCCGACTCTTCCTTTCCTTTCCTTGAAGTCTATATTCTGTGGAGTCTCCTCCAGCTCCTTTCTTTGCTGCTCCGTCTCATTTCCTCCACCCAACCTCTCTGTGTCTGTCCCGTCGTCTCTTTGCGCGTCCTGTCCTCCTCTTTCCTCGGCGACTGCCTTCCTTCGCCCTCTTCCTCCCACACTCACTCGCTCGCTCACTCACTCACTCTTTCCCTCCAATGCAAACAAACGCACAGAAGGAGGGACCTCGAGGGAGGGAAAGAAGGAAGGAAGAAAGGAAGGAAGGAGGGAAGCAGCTCGCCCTGTTTGCTTCTCGCGCTCCCGACTTTCTTACTTGCTTGCTTTCTTTTCCTCTTCGCTTCACACACCTGTCTGTCTTCCCAACCCAACTGGAGTCATTGTAGTTGTTGTTTTGAAGACCTACACGCCACCTTCAGAAGCATATGGGAAGCTCGGCCTGTCATTGAACATCCAGAAAACCAAAGTGCTCTTCCAGCAGTCACCAGTCAATCTTACTACAATCTAACACCAATCTTACTACAGCTGCATTGGTTACCAATTGAGCACCGGATCACTTTCAAAGTGATGGTACTCACCTTTAAGGCCTTGCGTGGTCTGGGGCCCATGCATCTGAGGGACCGCCTCACCCCCTACCCACCCCAGAGATCCTTCTGTTCTGAGGACCAAGATCTATTGGAAGTCCCCAGTGTCAAGACCTTGCATCTAACAGCAACCAGACGCAGAGCTTTTACAGCAGTGGCACCATCACTCTGGAATACTCTGCCACCTGAAGTCCGTGCCTTGCGGGACTTACCAACTTTCCGCAGGGCATGTAAGACATACCTGTTTTGACAGGCTTTTAATGTTTGATATTGTTGTTTTTAAATTGTTTTAAACTGCTTTTAAATTTTGTTAGATTTTAGCTATTCTTGTAAGCCGCTCCGAGCCCCAGAGGAGTGGCAGCATGTAAGTTTAAATAATAAATAAATAAATAAATCCCTCTCCAATGCCAGAAATACAGCCTAATGGTGTAACATTAGAAAATGATGACCATTGTTATATGCCTTACAGCAGGCATGGGCAACCTTGGGCCCTCCAGGTGTTTTGGACTTCAACTCCTGGCTGTTAGGAATTGTGGGAGTTGAAGTCCAAAACACCTGGAGGGTCCAAGTTTGCCCATGCCCATGCCTGCCTTACAGTAATTTTTATTTATGGCAAACCCATTGCCTCAGTGTTTTTGTTAATGTTGATCATTTCCGCTACCTTGGCAGCCACCTCTCCACAAAAAGTCAACATTGACACTGATATACAACACTGTCTGAGCTCTGCGAGTGCAGCTTTTTTCCGAATGAAGCAGAGAGTGTTTGAGAACCGGGACATCCATTGGGAGACCAAAGTGCTTGTTTATAAAGCTATTGTCCTCCCAGCCGTGCTATATGCCTGCAAAACATGGACTATCTACAGACATCACATGCAACTCCTGGAACGATTCCATCAGCGTTGCCTCCGGAAAATCCTGCAAATCTCTTGGGAAGATAAGCAGACAAATGTCAGCGTGCTGGAAGAAGCAAAGACCACCAGCATTGAAGCGATGGTCATCCGCCATCAACTCCCCTGGACTGCCACGTTGTCCAAATGCCTGAACACCATCTCCCAAAGCAGTTGCTCTACTCCGAACTCAAGAGTGGAAAACAGAATGTTGGTGGACAGGAAAAGAGATTTAAAGATGGGCTCAAAGCCAACCTTAAATACTCTGGCATAGACACTGAGAGCTGGGAAGCCCTGGCCCTTGAGCGCTCCAGCTGGAGGTCAGCTGTGACCAGCAGTGCTGGAGCCCCCAGTGGTGCAGTGGGTTAAACCCCTGTACTGGCAGGACTGAAGACCGACAGGTCACAGGTTCGAATCCGGGGAGAGGCGGATGAGCTCCCTCTATCAACTCCAGCTCGTCATGCGGGGACATGAGAGAACCTTGAAGGTGTCTATGGACAATGCCTGCTCTTCAGCTCAGTAATGGAGATGAGCACCAACCCCCAGAGTTGGACACGACTAGACTTAATGTCAAGGGAAAACATTTACCTTTACCTGCCTAGTTTCCAACAGAACTCACAACCTCTGAGGATGCCCGCCATAGAGGTGGGCGAAGCGACAGGAAAACTGGAAAACTCACAGCAACACAATATTCACGATTGTCCACAGTTTCAAGTATCCATTGGAACATGTTCTCCATGGATATGGGAGTCATATTGTATGCAAAGGTATCTTATAGCATCTTTGAGACTACAACATTTACATCAACAAGCCTACTTCCTTTTGTCAACTTAAGCCTATTAAGTACCTAGAAACAGACACTTATAGGCAGATCATATATGTGAGCAACAAGAGAATGCAAAACTTGTGGGTATGATGATGAAGTGGCAAGTGCAGTTTCAGCAATGGATCTGCACCTGATAAAGGGGACTTCAGGCTGCAAAAGTTGATGCTACCGACTTCTTCCTTTTGGTTAGTCTCAAAGATGCTGTAAGATTGATTTGCATACTGATACAGATTAAAACCACAATTTCTTTGAATTCCAGATCCTTTTAAGGTAGCATTAGGCAACATTTATATTTGAGAGGGCTTTTTGATTTGGTGTTGTTCCTGGACTCCTAGATTATCGTAATAGTTATTGCATAGTATCATTTCCTGTTCAAGTTATGACTTTTCCTACTTTTCTCCAGTCCACCTGGCATGGCAATCGTCACCCATGCTCTAGTTATGTTGCAGGGGTATTCAAAAGGTTGGCTTGTTTTTGCATAAAAGGACATTAAAGGAATCCAGTTGCATCTTTAAAACTAACTGGATTTTTTCTAGTAGTAATAATTTCTGCCACGGGATCCCTTTATGTTTTTTTTCCAGTTGTGCTGTGCCTTTTATTGCTATATGCATTTACTCCCAAAGGGTACACAAAGCTTCAGCATGTGCAAAATGTGCAGGTAGGTTGCTAAATGTCATCTGGGATCAAACACAAATGTCATTTAGCTTTTTTTTTTTCAAACACAGAAAGACCTGCACCACTTGCTGGTTGCCAGTTGCTTTCTAGGCTTAAAATTAAGGTGACTTGCCCTTAAACAGCTTTCGGGCACCTAACTTCATTATGAAGAGTCCAGATGTTAAGAGAGGGACTCCTTAAAATCTTATTATCATGACAGCTTTTTTTCATCTCTTGGAAAGGTTTCCATGATGGACATTTGGAAGAAAGGTTGCTTTCTGAAATGCAGTCTAAACACTTTTAGGAAGGGGGTTAAAAGTGGGGCCATGGTAGCACAATGAGTTAAACTGCTAGCTGCAGAAAAACTTGGTAACCAGAATACTAGCAGTTTGAAGCCTTGGGTCAGGGTGAGCTCCTGCTGTTAGCCCTAGTTCCTGCCAACCTTGCAGTTCGAAAACATGTAATGTGAGTAGATCATTAGGTACCGACTCGGTGGGAAGGTAAAAGGTATCCATGCAGCCATGCCAGCAAAACATGACCAGGAGGGTATATGGACAACAGGCATTGAAAAATGGAACAAGAGCACCTCCCCATGGCCAGAGTTGAGCATCACCTTCGGACTTTTATACAGTGTCATTGTTCACTGTATAAAAGGCATTGAATGTTTGCAAGGTTTATATATCTGTGGAATGTCCGGAGTGGGAGAAACAAATCCCAACAAAGGGTTCCTTCAGACTGGAAGCATCCAGGCTTTGAAGCTGCAAGGCCATTCAATGCTAATAAAGGTGACCACTTGTAACAGTTACATTTTCCTCAAACAGGCAAGAGTTTTTTCTGTACATTCCACAGATATATAAACCTCACTTGCCTAGTTTCCAATAGACCTCACAACCTCTGAGGTTGCTTGCCATAGATGTGGGTGAAACGTCAGGAGAAAATCCTACTGGAACATAGCCATACAGCCTGGAAAACTCACGGCAACCCAGTGATTCCAGCCATGAAAGTCTTCGATAACACAGACTAATCAATGTCAATAAGATAATATCAAATTAAATTTGTGCTAAAATTAAAATTAAAGGGAGTTGTCGTTTGCACTGTTTGACAGAGAAGGCTAAGGACCTTGTAAAATTACAACTCCCAGAATTATATCGCATTGCATCATGGCAATTAAAGTGGTGTCAAACTGCATTAATTCTACTATGTAGCTGCACTCCTTAGTCTGTAACATTTGAAATAAACTGTTACTTCACATGTTGCAGAAGTGGGAGAAGGGAGAGAAATCGACATTTCAGAAGCACCAGAAAAAGTGGGATGTTAGAAAATTAATGGGGACTCCCCCTACCAAATCAGGACTCTTGGAAGGTATGCATGACTGAGTTAGCTGTAACTATAAGACTATGTATGGAGTTGTATATAAAGAGGTTTGCGTTGCTGACCTTTGCAATATTTCTTTTTTTTATAACCCCACTTCTGGTGAGTACAAAGTGATTCCTACTTTGGGGAATGGTCCAAGGCCCCCACCATCTTAATCCAATCTTGCAGATGATTCACTGGGGTCTAGACAGGATTCAAATTAAGCTTTGCTTGAGCTTCACTCCAGGCTCAAGTTGATGCAGCAAATTCCATTTCTGTTTTGTGATCTGTGGTAGCATATTTTCACAGCAGAACTTTACATCCCTCTGCAACTCCACAATGAAATTATCACACCAACCCACGGTCTGCTCATATTCAAATGTTAATTTACTGTGTTCTTAGTTAATATTTGAGCATAGGAATGTTAATGCCTTTAGTAGCAGAGCAGCAAGCTTCCGGGAAAATTGCTGATAAGAATCCAACAGGACATACATATTTAATTCCATGCCACCGTCATTGAGAGATATGTTCCCATGTCCAGATTTAACTGCAGCAGTGAATCCCATAGAAGAGAATTGGATTGAAGGATATTAGATGAGAAAAGGGAGTAAAGCAGTGCATTAGCAGCAGATAACAGGAAACTGTTCTTAAAGCAGAGATCAGTGGCAGCTCTAAATGAATCCATTGCAATTTTCAATGTATTGTTATCTAAAACAAGTAATATTCAGAATTCTGAGAATATAAAGTCATAGCTGTGTGTGTGTGCGCGCGTGCGCGTGCCTTCAAGTCACATGTTGACTTATGTGTCACCTCAACATCTTCTTCACCCAATGATGCACAGTACTCACATCAACACAACCACCATAAACAGCTTGTATTTTCTGATTAATCTCCTTTGGGGTGACACCTTCTGCTGTCAAGAATTCAATGACTGCACATTGCTTAAGTCGCATTGACCAACCGTCTGTGCAGGGTTCCATACTTCGCACTTTAACA